GGGGCTGGGGTTGTGGTTCAGTGATAGAGCATTTGCATGTGTGAGGTACTGGGTTCGATTCTCAGCACCACATAAATAAATAAATTAAATAAAGGTCTATCAATGTCCAAAAAAGTATTTGAAAGAAACCACACACTTTGTAGGTAACTGAAAAAAAATCTCTTAAAATGTTGAAAAAATACAGAGCTAAAATTCTCAGATAAAAAAGAGATGATACTATATTTGTGAAATAAGAACAGGATGCTATAAAAAGAAAATTGAGTACTCTCCTCCCCCACCAATGGAAGCTCTTGGGAATTAAAAATATCATGGTAGGAAAGTAAAGTTTAATAGACTAGAAGTTCTATTAGAAGTGAAATATAAGATATATATTTTTTAAAATAGAAGATATCAAAGATCCAATATCTAAGTAATGTAAGCTTCAGAAAGAGATAACAGAAAAAAATATATAAGAGAGAAAAAAACCACTCAGGACTGAAGAGTATAATTTTAAGAGAAAATGCTTATAAAGTATCTAGACCAATGGAAAAAAAAAGCCCCAACACCAAATTACAGCATCACTAAATACCAGAGTATAAGGAATAAAGGAAATCCTACAAAATTCCAGAATTCCAACAAAGTCCAAGGGATCTAGAATTAGAATGGCATCAATTTCTCAATAGCATCCCAATAAAGTGGAAGAAAATGAAGAAATGTGCTCAAAATTTGGAAAGAGAATTATTTCCAATTAATATCCCAAACCATTAATCCGGTGTGAAGGAAGCAAAGTGGCATCTTAAATGTGCAAGGTCTCAAAAAGCAGCTGGGTCTTTGGGAGACTGAGACTCATATGATTTTGGGAGCCCTCTTTAAAAAAAGACTTAAAATTACAAATACAAAATTAGGAATAAAAGTGAATATTTATTTAGAATGAGAAAAGAAATCATAACAAACTAGGACCATGGAGAGATCTTTCTTTTTAATATCTCTTTAGAAAATTTATCTAAAATGCTTCTTTATGGCAACCTGGTTTTCTCTTTCACTGGGCAACTAGAAGCAATTCACGGTACTCTTAGGGGCTCCATGAGCTTTCTCAGTTCCTTGGTAAATGTGCCTCTGCCTCCATATGCTGTTTATCAGAAAGCTATGTTTCAGTAAAACCAAGGATATGGTATCTAAGAAATGGGAATTCAGCATGCTTCCCAGCGTGGCAGTGAGGGGAAGTGCAGTATAACTAGGAGCCTGAGAATAACCAGTCTCTGAGAATAGAGGACTGACTGGGGATGTTTTCCAGAGAAAAAATCAGAGTGATTGATTACTTTGATTACTTGATGTTTATTGGAGAGTTATGTATTCTGTCAAACTTTAAGCAGGAATTGGTGATGGGTATTCAAAACCCTATGCAACTGAAGAAAATGTCTAACCTATACACATCTTCCTGTATATTTAGACTGCTTAAAAACCTAATACAATACAAATAGTATGTACATAATTGTTATACTGTTTTGTTCAGGGAAAAATGACATGGAAAAAAAGCCTGTACATGTTCAATATGTATAATTGTGTGTGTGTGTGTGTGTACATATGATACTATATATAATATTCTATATATATAATATAATATTAGGGGAACTTTTTAAAATTGTATAAATATATATAAAATATATATTATGTATTATATGTAATATATAATAGATACATAATTTTTTTGCAGTGCTGGGGATTGAATCCAGGTATCCAGTGCTTTACCACTGAGTTACATCCTTAGCCCTTTTCATTTTGAGACAGGATCTCATTAAATTGCCTGAGATGGTTTTTAACTTACAATCTTCCTGTCTCAACCTGAGGAGAGACTGGGATTACAGGTGAACTCTACCCCATTCTGCTGTATATTTATAATACCTTTGATCTGTGGTTGATTTTATCTGTACATGGGGAACCCCAGAAATGGAAGTCTGACTGTAGTCAGCATTTCTTGGGGATAGACCTCAGATTCTACAATTTTAAAAAGTTCCCCTAGTCTCACGCATTATCTATTGCTTTTTTATAAAACAAACAAAAATCAAACCAACCAAATGACTCATTTAGAAACAAGGAGTCTCTGACTCATAAAGTATATTATGGTGATACTGCTAGTTGTTCACTCCCAATATGCATTTACCTCTTCCTTATTGACAGAATTCCAGTTTTGCTGTACTGATGACACAACCAAGCCAAACAGTAGATTTTCCTAGCTTCCCTTCCAGTTGGAGTGGCTATGTGACATAGTTTCAGTCTATGAAATATAAGAATTCTACTGGGTGGAGTTTCCAGGAAAGATATTAATTAATAACAATAATTAATATTAAAAAAGACCAACTCATCTGGTGCATTGCTTTCTGCCCTTCTTTTCTGTTATGCAGGCTAAGCTCTCCAATGAGACAAGCATGAAAGCTACATACAAAGAACAGTGGTTCAGGAAGAAAGAAGGAGCCTGTTCTGGATGACATTCTGGAATACCTTTTCTAGCTCCCAACTTCTCACTTCCAGATCTCTAGTTATATGAGGGGGAAAAAAAAAAGAAAAAGAAAAAAAAAAAACACCTCTTTGCTTGTTTAAGCCAGTTGTAGAAGGATTTTCTATTTCTTATAACTAAATGAAATTCTAGTGCCATCTCATACTTGTTCAAATGTTTATTTTACATGTATTCAACATGTTTTATTGAGTGCCTATTAGTGGGCACTGTGCTAGGAATCACTTAGGAGGCCACACAGACAAGGTGCTTTACTTCACAGAACACAAAACAGTTGGAAGGATCTGTAGGTAGGGAATGTCCCTAATTTATGATAGTTTAATTTAGTATTTTTTTAGCTTTATGATGGAGCAAAAGTCAGACACATTCAGTAAAAACCATACTTCAGTTCTTTAATTTATTCTGCCCCTGGACTAGTCATATGCAATATGGATCTTCTTGTTTGATGCTGGGCAGTGGCAGCCAATCACAGCTCCCTGTCAGCTACACGATCACAAAAGGAAACAACCATGCTCTACATTGTTCTGTATTGCTAAACTAGGATGTTTGGAGGTTATGTGTAGTAAATGCATTTAAAAAATTTTTTTGTGTGTATATGGTGCTAGGGATTGAACCCAGGGCTCTGTGCATGCAAGGCAAGCATTCTGCCAACTGAGCTATATCCCCAGCCCAGTAAACACGTTTTGGACTCATGATATTTTTCAATTTACAAGGTGTTCATGATGACATAACTCCATCATAAGTCCAGGAGCATCGAGACTGGGATTCAGGAAGACTATGGCTCAAACCAATAGACTTTAAATCAATAGAGTGAATCAAAATAGTTACTTGGTTTATATTCCCAAGGGACCACATGCCAGAAAGAGGAATAATATGAATTCTGGGAGACCTAGATTTTACCTGTAACTTTTTAGTGAAATAGATTTGGGGAAGCTGAAGTGGCACCCCCTTTCTCCACAAAAGACTTAATTGGGCTTCTCCAGAAATCTTCACCCAAACTGATTTTAGGACTGTCAGCAAATGAGTCTCTGCAAAAGAGTTCAATGTAGATAAACTTCCTATTTTTGTGTCGTCCTGTTTTACTTTGCCACTGGCCGAGAAGATACCAGCATTCCCGGTGCTGGACACCCCTTACTAGTTTTTCACAAACATATCCCAGTATAGTAGTTTGTAGAAATGTGCAAATAAGGCCTCTGGCCTTGAGCTGGGGCTTCACAGAGATGTTTATATTTTTAAGATAAGTTATAATTGGGCTCCATGGTAACAGCTGGCAGGGGTAGAAAAGAAAGGGGAGAAGAAGCTCTCCCTTTTTCAGGTGTTGTCCTTGAAGTGTTAATTTGCCCAAAACAGTGAAAGAAAAAGCTGTTTTTATGTGAACTTCTGCAGACTGTAAACTTCCGAGCCCCTCCCCTCACATGCTGAGTATAAAACTCTGAAACTACCTGAACTCAGGGTTCAGGTGATTAATTGATTACAGCAAAAGCTGTGAACCTGGCTGCAGCCAAATAAAACTGTTTCCTGCTATCTTCAGGGCCTTGCCTCCTTTGTCCCTATAACAAAGCAACATGGAGTACTTACCTAATTTTTCTGGAATCACCTTTTGAAAAAAAAAATTTTTTTTTTGACTTGATAGTCTTTAAGTATACCTAGTTCTAAGATATTTTGTGATTACATTGAACAAAGATTGGCATGAAATGGACCAAAGTGTCTCTAAATTTAGGCTCTAAATTCAAGTCAGAGAATATATTAAATGTTGAGGAGAAACAAATCACAAATCCCTATCACAAAATTAGACAAACAGCAAACACTGACAACAAAAATACCCTAGTGGGAGCAGTGGTATTCTGGAAGAAATTCTGGTTGGGGTCCTGGTTCAGCTATTTAATAACTGGAAAGCTCTGGGCCACATACACAATGCCTCTGTTTGCTCTTAACTTACAGGGCTGCTTATAAAAATCACTTTGCATACTGAAAGCCTCATTATGATTTGACTACCAGAAAGATACTGATAATGGCTTATAACATCTAGATTCTAGCAAGGGAAAGATTGTGGCCTCAATATGCATCACATGTAGGTGGCTGATAGATCTTTTGACTTTCTAGCCTCCCCAATAATGGGCCTTGTGGCTAATTTTTACACAAGAGAATAGGTAAAAAGAAACAAAAAACAGCTAAAATTTAAGTGATCTCTTTTTGTTTGTTTCTAGTTCCAATGAAGGTTTTGGGGAGAGTGCTGGCTCTTAAAAGGGAGGAAGCTGAGATTTCAAGTAAAAAAGCTGAGTATGTAGTTTAGTGACAGAGTGCTGAAGCCCTGGGTTTGGTCTCCAGCACCACAAAAAAAGAAAAGTTGGGGTTGGGGATGTAACTTTGTGGTAGAGCCAAACAGGGGGCCCTATGTTCATCCCCTAGCAACACACACACACATATATATGCTAACCCACTTATCCACTCACACACAAATTTTTAAAAAATTAAATGAAGTGTGGGGATTAAGTACTTACCTGGGGTCTCTAATTGTTCGTATTCAGTATGGTCTAATATGTGAATAATCTAGTATTTGTCTTATGACCTGCCTGTAGAAACATATAGATATAAACTGTGTCTATGTATGCACCTATTTGTTGATACCTCAGTTTTCAGCTTTTTACAGTTAAAAACCTTTGTAATAGCAGGGACTTTGGCTACGGAAGTGGCTTTACATATGATAAAACTGCCCTCATCCATTTTCAACAAGCAAATGCATTTGAGGAAGAGACAGTCCTTTGATTATACCCAATACAGACAACATCTGTAGTTTGAACAATTAAGGATGGCAGCCACTGTTACCTTGAAGTGGTGGAGAGATAAGAAATGAAAATCTTCCTCTTTGCCTCTTTTTCTCTCCAGCCCTCGTCAAATCCTGTCTCAAAGTTCAATTAAGCCAGATTCATAATTAAGGATATAGCAGAGGGAGACTCCAAATGGAATAATTGTTGCCCCTTGTGAGATTTAATAGCTTCACCTCAGTCATCACAACCAACATCCAGCAGAAGGGTGGATTAGATGCCTGGGAGGCCAATTTCGGAAGTTTTGGAGGGAGAGGAAGAAAATGGCAGGTACCAAGGAGAATGTAAAGGATATGGCCATTTTTGTGAGTTTTAGGAGAAAGACGTGCCCTAAAATTTAAAAATGTCTTCTATTTCATAAAGCGCTAGGTTCGCTGGCTGAACCTTTCGTTCAGCCAAAATCTTTCTTTCGTTCGGTGCTACCTCATCCTTCTGGACCCAGAGAGTGTTCTCCACTCAAACCTCTCCACGGTTAAATTCACCCTCTGCTCCAGACAGCTTTTCTACTTATTGCTCTATAATAGTGGCTGGAAGAACTTTATCCATCGCCCGGTATTATCAGATACCAGACTTCCGGGACTAAGGACAGTGTCTGTTTCAAGTATTAGTAGATCCTGGCTAACAAGGAGTGGCCGTTGGATACAAGTTCCCACAGCTACAAGGGCTGACTGAAAACAGCTCCAGGTCCCTTGCCCCAGGTGCCTGTCATCACTGTGGGCAGGGTGACCTCTGAGCGACCCTCCGGGACAGGATGGATGCCAGGGGCTTCATACCTTCCTCTCACCACGCAGCGTAGTCCACCTGACTCGTTGGGGGACCCTGAGTGATATTCATTTCAGGGCCGGCAATGCGACCGAGGCGCGGAGCACAAGTGGGACCTCTGGAAACTTCCCAGCCCCGAGGGGCTCTCAGTTCGGCCTCGGCGACACCAACATCCTCCCGCCCCTCCCGTAGTTGAGTTGAGTCCTCCTCCCCATCCCAGCGCCCCTTCCTAGTCCGAGACCCCTCCAAATTTGAGAGCACTTTTCGGTCCCAGTGCCCTTCCCCGGGGGCCCTTTCCCCTCCCTGAGCTCCTTTCCCCGTTTCTTGTCCTACTTCCGAGCTCCCGTCCATAACCCTCATCCCAGTCCAAGCCTCTCTTCACAGTGGGAGCTCCCTGCCCTCAACTGGAGTCTGACCTGAGCTGAGCTCCTCAGAAGCGTCCGCGGCCAGCGCCCGCAAGCCAAGTGCAGCGGCAGGTGGCGGAGCAGGTGCAGGAGCAGGCGGCCAGCTGTGGGCCCCGCCCGCGGACGTGGGCTCTCTCCACCCTTGATCGCCCTTCCCCGCACCTGCCAGCTCATAGGACCTCCAGTCGCCGGAACTGCACTTCCCTCCGTTCCTTCCTACCATCTGGTCCGAAGGTATTCCCTAAGGTGTGTTTCACCAGGAGCGGGTTCCTGGGTGGACTGTGTCGGACTGTAACCTTCTACAATGCAAAAGAATCACAAAGCCTGAGAGACAGCGAGAACTCAGAGGGTATGGAAGCCAGCTTCCCAGGACAAGCAACCACTGCAAACACACTGGAAGCCAGCCGAGAACCAGAATCAAGTTTCTTTTTCTGGGTAAAACTTGATAGTTAACTTTGAGTGTCACATAGTTCGCTCTTTCATTCACTCCATGCATTAATTCATTCAACAAATCTGCCACGTGCTCATCTAACAACAAATCTGACAGACGGACACAGTTCTGTGTGCTCAAAGGGGACAGAGTTTCTGCCCTGGGAGGAGCTTCCTTTCTACGGAGGTATGCAAGACTTTCTTTGTAGTATAAGATGCTGCGAATCTTTGTAGCATCTGGAACTAAGAGATTAACCTCCCTCTGCAACGCTCTGTTGCTCCTCCTCTCCTGAGGACATAAAAGAATGAGAGAGCTAAGTCTCTATCTCACACCAACTGATAAGTCCCCCTGGGAGGAATGTTAGCAGAGGTCTATTAAAAACTTCTCAGGTGATACTAAGAAGTCAGGGTCCAGAACCACAGATCTAGAGTTCTAAAATGCCTTCCAGTTTATTCCATTGTTGAGGGCTTTGTGGAAACTAATGTTTGTGTTTTGGTTGTAGAGCAAGGCAAAGGATGTACAAGAGCAGAGCAGAACAAGTGCTACTTGTTTTTTTTTTCTTTTTTCTTTTTTTTTTTTTTGGTGGGGAGGAGGGGGTACCAGGGATTGAACTAGGAGCACTCGACCACAAAGGCACATCCCTAGCCCTATTTTGTATTTTATTTAGAGATAGGGTCTCATTGAGCTTCTTATCCCCTGGCTTTTTGCTGAGGCTGGCTTTGACATGCCTGCCTAAGCCTCCAGAGCCACTGGGATTACAGGCATGTGCCACCGTGCCCTGCTCAAGTGCCACTTTTGATCAAATAACTTTTCTATAAAGTAAAGAAAGACACCATGGAGCATTTCCTGTAGCAGATCTTTCCTCTGTAAAATAGAATGAATGGGACCTGGTGGGAGAAGGTAATGACCAGTAAGTTTTGCGATTTGGGTTAAAAGAATAATGAAACCATACATCTGAGATGCATGATGTGCCAGAGCCAGGAGATTCCCAGAAGAGCATCATTTGAATTCCTGAAGAGAAAGGGCATAGGAGGGATGCCTGACAGAGAACAGCCTCTCCCAAGGTGACAAACATCAAGGCTCAACCCTTTCATCTATTTTAAAATCCCTGGGTGAAACATGCCAAGATGAGACACGGTGATTAAATCTGTTCCCAAACTGATGTAAGTGCCAGGCTTAACCCTGATACTTGCTCATGCCTATGGATTTTGAAATGAATATGTTAGAGTCCTGTGTGTGTGTCATCCTGGGCGAGGCTATTCTCTGACACCAGATCTCTTTTATGGTCTTTCTCTTTACTAATGTTTTATTTTTCTCATAGGCTAGGATCATGAAACAAATGTGTGATGTCTTAATTGTATAGTTACTGGTGGGTAGAGATGCTTCTTAATGTGGAAAAAAATTAGAACTAAGAAAATAATTTCTGCCTCAAATTATAATATTGTGGTATTAGGATAAACCACTTAAAATATAAATTTGACTATCTTTAACATGATATGTAAAAATAACCCAAATGAAACAGCTTCAAGTAAGCAGCTGACAAAAGGTAAATTACTATTAAATCAACTATAAAATAATATAATACCAGCTAATCATTATTATCAAGCTATTTTAATATAAAATTCAAACAAAGTTGTGTCTAGAGACAGTCTTTTATGAAGACCTTGGTAAACAACTTTTAATTTAATAGGAAATGGTTTAGTTCATAAATGTCCCCAGGATAATTGACTGTTCTTTTGGAAGATCATTGCTCATTATTCAATCTCTCTTTGGCCATCATGTTACTAGCTGGGCACATGACCAAATAAGGATGATTTTCCCAGCCAGGCTTTTAGCTAGAAGAGGTTAGATAACTAAATTCAGACTAATGGGAGGAAAAGGGAGATAGGATACTGTGGTGGGTGTTCTGAAAGGAAGGGAATGTGCTCATCTTCTCCCCTTCTACTCTCATGATAGGGATATGGGCATGGCGACGCTGAGCCAATCTTGGACCACGGTGGCTAAACATTATGGACCAATGGTAAAATATGTGGATGAAAGAAGACTGGATTATTGGATGATCTCATGCAGTAGCCTCTGCATTAGTCCTATAATGTCTACCTCCAATCTGTTCCACAAAGAATAAAGTTTGTTACATGAAGCTAAATCCACATCTTAACTAATTTAGAATAACTTCCCTCCTGCTTTTCACCATAAACAAACAAATATTAAAAATGGGTTAAAGAAAAATCTAAATATATCATTTACTTTGTCCAGTAACCACCATTTGGGGACTCTAGATAATAAGAATTTTTTTGTAGTTGTAGATAGACAGAATGCCTTTATTTTATTTGTTTATTTTTATGTGGTGCTGGGGATAAAACCCAGTGCCTCACACATGCTAGACAAGTGTTCTACCACTGAGCCCCAGCCTCAGCCCCTAGATAATAATAATTTTAAAGATTGTTATTACAGCATTGTTTATAATACCAAATGTCATTCAAAATATGGGAATAGTTAAACATATTATAGCAAGCCCTTTCAATGGCAAATTGTATATTTCTATGATGTATTGCATTGAAAATGATGAATTAGATTTATAATTATTGATCAAGAAAAGAGATATTATGTATTATTAAAGTTAAAAAGTTATAGTTTTCTTTTTTGTTGTTATAGAATATATGTAGCATAAAATTCACAATTTTAACTATTTTTAATCATCCAGTTCAGTGACATTAAGTACCTTCACATTGTTGTGCAATCATTGCCACTCCCCATCATCATTTGGAACTTTTTCATCATTCCATACTGAAACTCATCCATTAACCAATAACTATACATTCCTGACTTCCCTGGCCTCTGACAACCAGTGTTCTTCCTATCTCTATGAATTTCACGTAAGTGAATCATACACTATTTGTCCTTTATGTCTGACTTACCATTAGTATAGTGCCTTCAATTTTCATCCATGCAATGTCATGTATTAGAATTTTACCCCTTTTCAAGGCTGGATAAAATTCCATTATATGTTTTTTTTTTTTTACAACTTTTCATTTAGGTATTCATTTCTTGATGGTCATTTGGATTGTTTCTATATTTTGGCTACTGTGAATAATGCTGCTATGAACATTGGTATACAAATATATAATTCTTTCATTTTGTTGATACTCTCAGGAGGGGAATTGCTAAATCAAATAGTAATTCTATGATTAAGATTGTGAGGAATTATTGTTGTTTTCCATAACAGCCGCACCATTTTACATTCCCACAAGCAGTGTGCAAGGACTCTAATTTCTCCACAATACACCAGTTTTTGTTGTTTGTTTGTTTATTTAAAAGAGTAGTTATCCTAATGGGTATAACTGTCTCACTGTGGTTTTGATTTACATTGCCTTAACAATTAGTGCTGTTGAGCATCATTTCATGTGCTTTTTGGGCATTTGTATATATTCTTTGGAGAAATATCTGTTCAAGTTCTTTGCTTTTGAATTAGATATTTTGCTTTTGTTTAGTTTTAAGAGTTCCTTATATAGTCTGGATATTAATTCCTACTCAGATATATAATATGCAAATCTTTTCTCCCATCCAATGCGTTTCATTTTCACTCTGTTGATAGTGTCCATTGATGTAAAAAAATATTTAATTTTAGTGAAGTTCAATTTGCTATTTTTGCTTTTGTTGCTTATGCTTTTGGTACTATATCCAAGAAATCACCGTAAAATCTGTTATCATGAAGCTTCTCTTTTATGTTTTCTTGTAAGAGGCTTATGGTTTAGTGCTTACATTTAGATCTTTAGTCTATTTTTAATTCATTTTTTATTAGTTGCTCAAAACATTACAATGATCTTGACATATCACACATTTGATTCAAATGGGGTATGAATTCTTATTTTTCCACGTGTTTAGTTCATTTTTGTATGTGGTGTTAGGAAAGAATTCAGTTTCTTCTTTTGTATGTGGATATCCAGTTTCTTTAGCATCATTTATTGGAAAGACTGTCCTTTCCTCATTGAATGGCCACACAATAAGACTCCACCTTTGAATCAGAGACCAGGCTCCTCCCCAGATATGGAACCTGCCGGCACTTTTTTTTTTTTTTTTCTGATACTGGGGATTTAACCCAGGTGTGCTTCATCACTGAACTATATCCACAGCCCTTTTTTATTTTATTTTATTTTTTTTTAAATTTTGGCAGGAGGAGAGAAGGTTGCTCCTTAAGTGTACTAGTCTAGAGATTCAGAAAGCTTTCAGGTCAACGCTATTGGTCCAAATTTATGCTAATCAGTGTTTGGAAAAGTACCAGCACTATTGGTCAGCTCTCCAATCACCATTTGGGTCTGCACCTGTTCCCGTTTTATTGCTGCTTATTCAGCCAGTGTCAGGCCACCAGGGTCCACAGGTGTGTGTGCTCTAGCTACTGGGCTTCAGGCCCACACCAGCATGATGGGCTCTGGGTGGCAGTGGCCCTGTGCTTGCCTTCTGTGCTCCAGCCCTCCTAGTCCACAGCTCTGCTGCTTTATGACAAGGGCTTGGCTCCACAAATCTTTTCCCTCTTTGGTCATAAGTTTTCTGTCCTTCCTTCCTTCCTTCCTTCCTTCCTTCCTTCCTTCCTTCCTTCCTTCCTCCCTCCCTCCCTCCCTCTCCCTCCCTCCCTCTCTCCCTGTCTCTCTCTCTTTCTTTCTTTCCTAGAGATGGAACCCAGGATTGCTCATATTGTAAGCATGTGCTCTACCACTGAGCTAAACCTTAAACTAAATATGCCTATTTCTAAGTATTTTATTCCTCTTGATGTTAATGTAAATGAGATTGTTTCCTTAATTTCCTTTTCAGATTCTTCATTGTTAGTGTACAGAAGCACAAGTGATTTTTGAGTGTTGAACGAATTTTGGTCCTGCTACTTCACTGAACTTATTTATTACTTCTAACAGTTTTTTTTTTTTTAACAGTCTATGGTTTTCTACACATAAAATCATGTCATCTGTTAACAAAGATCCTTTCACTTCTCTCTTTCCAATTCAGATTTTTCCCCCTTTTCTTGCTTAATTGCTCTAGACTGTGGCAGTGGTTGTTTTCAAATATAGTCTTTATTATGTTGAAGTAGCTTCCTTCTATTCCTAGCTTTTTGAATGTTCTTATCATGAAAGGGTTTGACTTTTGTCAAGTGCTTTTTCTGCATCAGTTGAGATGATCATGTGCCTTTTATCCTTTCATCCTGTTAATGTGTTATGTTATATTGAACAATTTTTAAATATTGAAATATTCTTGGATTCCAGAAATAAATCCCACTAATTCATAATTTATAATCCTTTTAATATGCTGTTGAATTTAATTTGCTAATATTTTGGTAAGGATTTTGCATTAATTTTTACAAGGATATTGGTTGATACTTGTAGTGTCTTCATGTGGCTTTGGTGTCAGGGTAATAATGCTGGCCTCATCAAATGAGTTAGGCAGCATACCCTTCTCTTCAAATTTTTTTGGGGAAGAGTTTGAGAAGAATTGGTGTTGATTCTTTAACTGTTTGGTTAAGTTACCAATGATCATTAAGTTCAGGCTTTTTCTTTATCAGGTGGTCTCTAATTACTGATTCAATCATAACAATTATGGTCTATTCAGATTTTATATTTCTTCATAATTTAGTTTTGGCAGGTTGTAGGTTTCTAGCAACTTGCCTGTTTAATATAGATTTTTTTTCTTAGTCCATTTGTACTGGTTAATTTTTTTTTTTTTTGGTACTGGAGATTGAACCTAGGGGTGCTTAACCACTGAGCAACATCTTTATTTTTTTATTTTCAGAGAGGGTCTTGCTAAGTTGCTAAGGGCCTTGCTAAATTGCCAAGGCTGGCTTCAAACTTGCAACTCTCCTTTCTCAGCCTCCGGACTCACAGCCATTTACCACAACACCTGGCTCTTACTATTATATTATTGCTATTATAATAAAATACTGGAGACTGGGTAATTTATAAAGAACAAAAAGTTATACTCACAGTTCTGGAGGCTAGGAAGATTAAGATCAAGTTCTGATAAGGAGAGAAGGAACTTATCTCAACATTGTAAAGGCTATATATGGCAAGTCCCAAACCAACATCATACTGAATACAAAAAAAACTGAAAACATTTTCTCTAAAAACAGGAACAACCTTTGTCTAATATAAGATAATTGTAATTTTGTGAGTTAGTCTCTGTATCCTCTATTCTGTACCATTGGTCTACCAGTCTGTTTTGGTGCCAATACCATGCTGTTTTCGTTACTATTGCTCTGTATATAGTTTAAGGTATAGTATAGTGATACTACCTGCTTCACTATTCCTGCTAAGGATTGCTTAAGCTATTCTGGGTCTCTTATTTTTCCAGATGAATTTCATGACTGCTTTTTCTATTTCTATGAGGAATACCATTGGGATTTTCATTGAAATTTCATTAAGTCTGTATGGTGCTTTTGGTAGTATGGTCATTTTGATAATATTAATTCTGCCTATCCAAGAGCAAGGTAGATCTTTCCATTTTCTAAGGTCTTCTTTGATTTCTTTCTTTAGGATTCTGTAGTTTTCGTTGTATACATCTTTCATCTCTTTTGTTAATTTGGTTCCCAAGTATCTTATTTTTTTGAGGCTATTATAAATGGAATAGTTTTCCTCATTTCCTTCTCAAAGGATTTATCACTGATTTATAGGTGTTGATTTTATATCCTGCTACTTTTGCTGAATTCATTTACTAGTTCTAGAAGTTTTCTGGTGGAGCTTTTTGGGTCTTCTAGGTATAGAATCATATTGTCAGCAAATAGTGCTAATTTAAGTTCTTCTTTTCCTATACATATTCCTTTAATTTCTTTCATCTGTCTAATTGTCAAGAACCATGTTGAATAGAAGTGGTGAAAGAAGGCATCCCTGTCTTGTTCCAGTTTTTAGAGGGAGCTCCTTTAATTTTTCTCCATTTAGAATGATGTTGGCTTGAGGCTTTGCATAGATAGCCTTTACGATGTTGAGATAAGTTCCTGTTATCTCTAGTTTTTCTAGTGTTTTGAACGTATAAAGGTGCTGTATTTTGTCAAATGCTTTTTCTGCATCTATTGAGATGATCATATGATTCTTTGAGTCTATTGATGTGATGAATTACATTTATTGATTTCTGTATATTGGACCAACCTTGCATCCCTGGGATGACTCC